GGGGGGGGGAGAGAGTGTTAATCCCCACAAACACAGAAGGTATCGGGCAAGGAACAAGCTGGCTAGAGTTAAAATAATTCTGAATCACAACAGCCCTTTGTCTCCCCACTTATTTTCTTCTCCTTTTGAGAGAAGAACAATTCAATCAAAGACTATCTATCAACTACCCTTAAAAATTTAACAATCTCTTGCTGGGAAAAAAATCAAAACAACTAAGATATCTTTTTGAGCAATATAAACATCGTTAAACAAACAAACCTTTACTAATTTGCCATCAGGATTTTCTTGGACTTGTAAATCATAACCAAATGCTGCCTTGCTGATAATATCAAGAGCTAGATTTTTCATCAACAAATAAACTTCCACAGATGATTTATCTGGCAAATCCTTCAATTTTTGGGTTAGAACTTCAGTTTTGTCCGCGATAACTTCCAGAGCATAGCTCAGGAAACCAGAATGAAACAGAGGCAAGATTAATCGCCTGTGCTTTTTCCATGTTGTTCCTTCCAGGGCATTCAGGCCGTTCTTTCCAATAAACATTTGAAAACGTGCCTGTGTAAGCTTGGAGATCGCATAGCTCTTGGATTTAAGGACTTCCTCACACAAGTGAGGATCAGCAACAGAGAAGATGTCTGTTCCGTACAATGGCGGTCTCCCCATTTGAATCCGAACCACTTTTCCATATTTCTTGTGAAGTTCCAGGAGTCGGATGTGCCTTTCTTCTACATTAGAACGGAAAACGGCTGTGTTTCCTGAAATCCAGTGAGGCGGAGGACCAGGCGGCAAGTCAAAGGTGGGTCTAAAGGAAAATTAAAACTAATGGCTTTAATGCGCGCTGCATGATCTAATTACAACATTTTGACAGCAGTGTGTGATTTAGCCCATTTGAGCAAGTTTGTACACTGAACATGTCTTGCCACTTTAATATCAACCACTAAATAGACCAAGAAGATTAAACTGCCCTACTTTACACCGTGATATAAAAGGTCTTGTGAGAAGATCAACAAAGACATTCCAATGAATTTCTTGGCTGGTTGCTCCTGTCAAGTTTATTCATATTTACAAGACTCTCAGGCTAAAATAGAGCTATGTCAGGTACCTTTTCCTCGATAAGCGTGTTATTGACACTTTCAAGATGAACCAAGTAAGGAGAATGACGACCAAAGATAGAAAAACTTCCTGAAGAAACACAACACCACCGACCGCCATATTCTCTTCCATAGTCTCCTCCATATTTGCACGTCATGCATCCTCCAAGGTTCGATTTCCTTTGTGCGAACTCACGAAACGGTTGGAAAATTTACCAGGTTACCAGAGGATCGGAACTCGGGAAGAGTGGAACGAATGAATGAACGAATGCGTGAAAGATGCCCATTCCGAGTAAGACATCATAATAATAAAATAAAAAGAAAATAAAACGTAATAAAACGGTCTGGTAAATAAAATGGCCGTAAAATGTTCGGAAATCGAGAAATATCTCAAAGTTTCATCATCTGCGTTAGCACAAGGCTGGTCTCTGGAGGACACAACTTTTCACTGGTACTTACAAAACAAATTAAAAATAACCGTTTAATTGAGAACCCTGAAGTCGCCTCAGCTAGTAAGGTAGCAGGAAACTCAAAGGAAGCGTGAGTATTACTGAGAACTGTAAAAATTTAAAAAAAAGATATAGAGCCAGGCTACTTTTTTTTATCCCGGCTGACGGTTCATTCACCCACTCTTATTTCCACCACTCTACAGCAGCCACCTCTCTGCAAAGACAAAAGCCACTAAAGCACGTCCCAACAGCCAAAATGACCCCTCGAAAACAGACAGTTAATCAACGACTGACGAACGTGTGTACAAAACCCTGTTTTTTGTGCAAAGGGACTCAAAATTTGATCCATACCGCGCGCCATTGAAACCTGTTTAGTTTCTGTTTTATTGACATATTTTTTACGTATTTACCTGCTACACTAGGCACTTTTTAAAGATAAATGCTGAACCCCATGGAAACAAAAAAGAGGTGTTGTATTATACCCCTACCTCCCCATAACGGCCACCTTTGTACAGCGGCCACTTTCCTCTGTCCCTAAGGTGGCCGTTATGGAGAGATTGGAATGTATTCCAAGAACAAACTAACGTTGTATTAAACTTGACGTTTCGTGTGCTACAACATACATCTTCAGAACTGACGGTTATAAAATATGACAAGATTTAAAAAGACTAAAACTAAAGCGAGGTATTGGTAACTAGCTAGATAACAATGAACAAAAGAAACCATATCCGGTGTGAATTAATAAAGAAAGAGTTTTTCACTACCGACGATTTCATTTAGGGCGTGTTACTAATACCTCGTTTTAGTTTTAGTCTTTTCAAATCTTGTCATATTTTGTAACTGTCACTTCTGAAGATGTATGTTGTAACATAAGAAACGTCAAGTTTAAAATACCATGCGAAACTTAAGTTGTTCTAAAGATAGACACGTACGTATCGTTCATCTTTTGGGTGGAATTTCAATGTTCTGCTCCGGAAATTATTATTAGCTGGTTATAAGGAAGAATCATATTATGTCCGCAAAGCCGGGATGGTTATTCTTATAGCGATACGATGATGAGTGACTCTTGCCAGGTTTTTTCTCCCTCGCCACTCCCTTCCCCCCGCCCCCGTCAACAAATTTCGAGTTTAAATTAGCCTGCGATCCACAGGCGTTCTTTTCTTTTCTTTTCTTTTTTTTTTCTCCTTACCCCTGCTGTTATAAAAAGAACGCCTGATCGCAGATTAAGTTTAAAGCGGTGACAGCAATAGTGAAAAAATACAGCTCACGTACGCATGGAATCTTTCATGCAGCGGCAACATCTTTATTTCCTAGGGCCCTCTAATTTCTCTTCCCTAAATGCTCTTAAGATAAGGCGCGTGAATACTGTAGAGAGAAAAATATAAAGTGCACGCCTTTCAATTCCTTTCAATTTTTTTTTCTTTTCTCTGGAGGACTCTCCGGAAGGAACAGTTAGATGTTCAGTAAAAGTTTGGTCGAAAAGCGACAAAGACAAAGAAAGTAATGTGCCGAGACACCCTTTATTAAAACCCAATTTATTTATTGTTTAGATTAAAAATCTGTCATGATGCCCTGTCTAATCATAGGTTGTTAAATAAAGTACATTTTTCACATAAACTTGATATCAGTTAGGTCCCAATCCTCCCGTTTCACTCAAAGACGGACAAAATGGACGACCACTGGCCGGTTTGAGATTCTCCCAGTAGCCACGGTTAGCTCTGTAAATAACAACACAGCAAAATCTCGAGGTCAGTGATCATCACTTTAAACCAGAAAAGAAAAACAACGTCCACAAATTCAATGATTGTCTACCTGTGTACAAACTTTTGCAAACACCTGCGCTATGTAACGCGATTTTCAATTATGAGTGACGCTGGAGTACAATCCTTAAAGAGAACTTTATTCGTAAAGTGGGATGCGTAAGATTCCAAACCACAAAACTCGCCTCTATCACCAAGCCTCACCTTGCTCTAACTTCAGGTAATGAGTGATTTTGAAGCGCCTCTCCCCAAGGGCCGTGCTTTTCGCTTGCAGCAGGAAATTTGCCTCGTTCTGTAGCCAGCTGAAAGAAGAACAACACTTTTGAGTCATGAATGATACCTTGTATAAAATTCCTTTCGTTCATTTTTTTTTTGGTTATTTTGGATGCCTTCCAAGCTTCAATTCATTCAAAAAATAGTTGTCAGCTTTCAACAGCAACCTTCTTTCACGAACCCTACCACCTCCGCGATAACCCAGAGTGGTTAATTGAGCAAACATTTATTCGTAAGTCCTACCTCTTCAGCAATAGCCCGGATGTGGTATGGTTAAAATCCACAGCAGCCTCCGATATACCTCACTCCCATATCATAGGCCCGCCGAGCGTACTTATGCACATCCCAGCGAGTTATCACATGCGAGGTTCCATAGCTATAATAATAACAAAATGGAACTTAATGCTATGTCACATCAGCACTTGCTATCGTTTCTCTTGGCTTATCTGGCAAAAACATCAAGTTGTCAATTGATCCAGTTGCATGTTAAACACTCACTGTTCCCAATGCGCAGTCAGATGAGTTTTACGTATTAATATTTTGAGTGGTTTGAGGCTAGAAAATCTCTATGAACACTCAATAAGACTGGAAAACAACATCCTTTTTTTCTCTCCAAGAGTATTAATAGGAAACGATGGGAAGACGTGAAGCAGATATTCGAGAGAAAGTATAGCGCGCCTCAACAACAGCAATACATCTGACCTCTCGTTCAGTGCTGTTTATTTTCCTAGATCACACGAGAACTTCCAAAGATCTCTGAGACCATTCTGCGCATGCTTACCTACGTGCTTATGCTTGAGTTGTGGTACTCACTACATTAATGTTCAAGCTTGTGCTTATGTCGTAATGAAAACTAGGCTTTACCGAAAGGGAATTCTGGTAAAGAGACGAATCCTCTGCGTTCGACATCTGGAGTGTGAACACCGGCAGGTTGAATCATCAGATGAGGCTTGAGTCCTTCCTTGTCTAACGCCTCTTTCATCAAACCAATGGTCTGTAAACTCATATCGGGACTGAAGCAACAGTTGACACCAACGATATCAGCACCTAGTCAAAAAGAATACTTGTGTTAATGTTAGTAAGCGATAACTAACTGGACATTGCAAAAAGAGCGAGATTATACTTTGAATGGCAAACGGTGTATATATGTGTTAACATTTCCATCATTATTCACAGAAGGGCTTAGGAGGGTCTTCGAGGTATTTATTGCGGTATATACATGTTAGTACATCAAGAGCGCGCGCAGAGCGCGTGTCCATAGTCTCGCGAGACTGACGGATGCCCATTATTATTATCTGTTTGTGCATCAGGTGCACGTGTATTTATAATTATGGTACTATGGCAAAGTCTGAGCAATGACTTCGTCAACATCCTCCTACAAAGTACGCCATGGACCACAAAGCAATTAAGCAACGTTTTTGCTGGGTATGGAACCTCTTCTAAGACTGTATTGCGTTTTCCCTCACTTTTCATACAAGCTATACACCGGAATGCGACATATTCAATACCTGCCCTTACGAGTCTCACGGCGCATTCTCCGGGGGACACATTTGTGAGGTCACCTTGTGGTCCAATACACATTGTAATGGCTGCTGGTTTACCTGTGGATTTCATCACCTCTACCAACCATTCAGCTTCTTCCACATTCGCAAAGAACTTGATGGACAGAGGGGACAGTATGTTACGCTAAGTATAACAATGAATTGGCAAGGGAGAGGGAAGAAAAAAAGTCCGTATTTTGAAAAATAAATATTAGTCAATTAATTACCATTCCACAAAAATAGAATTTTGTTCTAAAAGCCGTAATCTTAGGCGTAAACGTCTTGATCCAACCGTGGACTTCAGCTTCAGGTGATTTAATTTGACGCAATAATTAGCATCAAATTAAATCAAACTCTAATAGCATTTCGAAGATAATTATACTTTAAATTTTAGCTGTGCAGTATCAGTAAACTATAATCTTGCAAACAAAACAATCTCTTAGGTATAATAATTATTGACACGGGTTTGCTACACACTTACCTCACCAATGAGCATATCGACGTTATTCTGTATAAAAAACTCTATTTCTTCCCTAAACTTTTTCATCACAACGTCTTTTCCAGCACCTTGTGAACACAGAAAACCAGTCTGACAGATAGAGCAAGCAAAATAAGCCCCTCCTTCCTGGGCCACGCCCTTTGCAAGGTTACAGGCCGCCTGGTTTATGTTGTTGGGCTGAAAGCGAGTTTGTACATTAATACACTTCTTGCATATTTGTACAATTGATGAATTCTTGCCACTGATTAGATAGCTAGATATGTTAGTTACACCAGTATTGAAACATTGGAAAAGTGATCCATTTATCCGGAGTGGGTGGGTGAGGGGGACAGGAGTCATTTGTAGCCATTTCATCGGTCAAACACTCAGCGAGTCTCTAGTTCATATTGTCCAATCAAAAACTAGCACCAGTACTCACGAGTACTTCCAAAACTTGTCCCACCAGCAGAACGCACAGTATGGTCACGTCCTTTGGCGACAACGCGAAAAGAACCGCTTGGCGTTTTCCACAAACGTCAGAAAAACAGTTCCCTTGCCTAAGCAACGTCAGAAGACTGACAGATTACAGAGCAAGCAGAACGAAACTCTTCTTCCAATACACACAATATCCAAATGTGCGACGCAATTCAATAACCCGTTCACCCGGAATATCACAATTTTCAAAAATCTTTTCTTTGAAAATCACTGACTCGTTGCCAAATTTTTAAAGAGGTCAATGTTCTTGTTTATGTCTAGAAAATATATTTAAAATAGCTTTTTGGAATTAAATAGTTAACCAGGTTGTCTTCCAATGAGAATGTGAATGCTTGAATGATATCAGCTCCTGCTCGTAGGAATTCACGATGAAGCTGTCGAACTAGTCACACGACAAAGGAATCAGTCAATAAATTTAGCATTAAACTACGTGTAAATGTGGGTATGCTTTAAACCCGGGTTTAAAGGAACCACGGTTTATATAGTATGTCGTAAATTTATATGTTACGATTCATCATCAGCAAAATTACCTTCGAACATTTTTTTTCATAGAAATCCATATCCATAGCCCGCCCCCCCATCCCAAGATCTAACATGTCTTGGTTTGAAACCAGCTCATCCAGTTAAGATACATTCTTCACTATAATAAATTTGGCTTTTGAAGACCCTCCTTGAAACCCATTACCCTACAAATTTCATTAACGTTCGGCGGGTGTGGATATTTTCTGGAAACGCACGATGGAAGACTGGATATGAGAGCCTGTTTGTAACTAAGGGCCTACAAACCCACGGGATTGGAAATCCAAATATCGTGGATTAAAATACTGGTCTCCAGGCAGAAGATTGAATATTTTTTGACAATTTCCACTACCCAGTCTACCCAGCCGACGTCCTTGCGAAGTCATTTGCATTTGATATAAGCTGAAAAGTAACGCAACAACCGTCGCGCAATGCCGATACATAAAAATAACATGTTACCAAAATTCTTTTTCGGAGAATAATGTCTTCCTCATAGTTAAAATCTGTCACTGACTTACATGGGCGATTATCTATCTCTTCTTTTATTATTGCCGCGAAAATTATCGAGTCTGTATTGAACTATTGCGAAATAAAATTTAGTGTTACCTTTGGCATGTAAATTTAAGATTGCAATTCCCATTGGATTATTTACATATAACGGATAAAAAGGGTAAGGGTTAGGTTGAAAGGCAACTAAATAAACGTTTATGTATGGAATCGAATATACACTTTACGGTTTCGCCAGCCAGACCAGGGTACCTTCATGTCACGCATAAATGATCCAAATTATGCAGTTTAGCTCAGTTTGTGAAACTTTTCCAATGCTAAATGTATTTACACAGCTACAAGTCTGCCCTCACCTTTTCAGCATTAGACATAGTGTAGGAGTCCAAATATTATTAAGAACTGAAGATAAACTTGGAGCTTGGAGCTTACACCCTCGGGCTCCAACAAAGCTTGCTTGCGTGACAGGGGACCCGAATTAATGACTGTTATTTACCACTGTTATTAATGATTATGTTATTGCTGATACAGTGTTTGGGTTCCCTGTGCTTGCAGGCAGGCGGGGATGCAGGCTGGGTTACAGAGAGCTTTGTAAACTTTCTTGGTGGGGACTGTAGAGAAATCCTTCTTCACTCCCCTCTGATCTTCTCTCGTCCCTGCCTAACCTGTCAAGCCTGTAAGAAGGGATGCCGCCACATCGCTTCCCTCTTCGTCAAAGCTGAAGGTGACCCTGCTCGCAGGTAGTAGTTTACAACGTTTTTTGGAGGAAAGGTCCGTTCCAAGTTTATCCCCAATCTCTACAAATATTTAAACTCTGACAGAATGCCAAATCCTGAGGTGAGTCATCACTGATGCGTGTAAACATATCGAGGTTTGAAACCGTAAATAGTCGTCAAAAATGTTTTCCCACAATGTTTTAGCACAAGGAATATATATATATAAGGTCATGACGATTTTAATAGCCAGAAAATCAAGGAAAATTCAAAATGCAAGCTATGTGAGGCTTTGTAATCTTGAATTCGCATTCTACAAATCAGCACATGTCACTCTATTTCGCAATAATCGGAGCTCCATGAGAAATAACACGCAAACTGCGGTGATAAACGTGGCAATAAAACGCATGTTTAAAAAAAAGTTCATTTACTTGACGTTTCGAATGTTTCAACGTACATCTTCAGAAGTGACCGTTAGGAATAGAAGTAACAACTAAATTTAAGTAATTAACAATAACAATGACAGAAGCTGAGAAAAATTTGCATATAAACAGTGCAAACTAATAAAGATAAAGCTTTTCGCTGCTTACATTATCATTTAGGGCGGGTTTTAATTCCCTCATTAGCAGAGTCTCTTTTATCTTGCAATGTGTATCTGTCCGACCTTTTGCTAATATATCCAAGTGGTCCCATTTGAAGTTGTGACCAATTGACGTGACGTGGTCTGCAATACCAGAAGCATGACAGCTACTCGTGATCGATTAAAATGTTCAGTTTTTTAAAAATCGATCACGAGTTTATGTATGTTGAAACATACGAAACGTCAAGTAAATGAACTTTGTTTTCTTAACATGCGTTTTATTGCCATGTTTATCAACGCAGTTTGCGTGTTATTTCTTATTAAGCTACGATGGCCAAAGAAGAAGAGTATTTACGACAATCTGATTGAAGTTAAACGAGTGAGGGTGTGCTGCATAAAGGGTGTGCTGCTCAAGCTAACGTACGAAGAAAAAACTCTCGTTTCGTCGATTTCCATTAAGCCGTTACTCGTTAAGCCGTTACTTAGCCAGCAGAACAGGCCGAATACGGTTTACAATAAATTCCCCAGTGAGGATTTGTGTCACGCAATCGAACCCGTGAACTCCTGCGTTTCAGCAGGACGTGTCACAAAACACTGGCGGTTTAGACTAGCTGCGACGGAGGCCATGTACAAAATACTTAGAAAATATATTAACAATAGTGAAATGGTCGTAAAACCCAGCAAACTTAAGAAGAGCAGACGCTAGGATTCATGGTAAAAGGTCAGCGACCGAACATGATCTATTCTTGTAATTTGCGTTCATAACTTATGCAAGAATTACGCAACCGAAACGTTTCTACTGGTTTAGCTGTTCACAAAGGGTTAAACAGGTATTGTATTTTGTGCTCAATCAAGGTCAATAAAGCGCACAAAAGGTGGAAAGCAGAAGATTTTTTTCAAACTTTTTCTTCCCATGAATGCAAAAGTGGCGTGACATATAAAGTTAAATCCTGCAAAGGAAGGTGTACCTGCCTATGAGCCGTCGCTTTAAGGTCAAAAGTATTTAGCCCTAATGGACTAATAGGCCCTTTGCACGATCCGGTCACATGGTACGGAATTAATTATGCTGGCACACAAGTTACACAGTGGGACTTCCAAAACAAAGGAAAGTCGGGCTGGACTGGTACGAGTTCCTTTGTTTTGGAAGTTGCGTCCCAGCATAATGTGACCGGATCGTGCAAAGGGCCTACTGGGGACACTAAACAAGAGTAAAATGCTAAAAATGATTATTTAAAATTACAATGCTTTAATAATCAGAATTATAATCTATTCACTGCACTGATTGATAACATAGTCTGATAAGTTAAGATTTCTAATTTTGTTAGTAGTTAGAGTAGGGGCATTTCTTATATCTTCACTTAATTTAGACCATAATAAAGAGCTATAAAGGTCCTGCGTATCTAATAGCATGTTTACCATAATGTATGGTATTGAAACGTGGTAACAAAATCACTGTTCCGTGGCGAGTGCGTAGAATCTTTACGGACGAATAGGGCGGAGACGTTAGGGCGGAGACGTCTGGTGCAAAACCGTTCTTAACCTTATACAGGAGTACAGCGATATCTTGCAGACGCCTGGTGACCTTAAATTATGTGAAAGACAGTTGACATTGTTTTCCGACCATTCCTTGTTTCAGCTTGGTATATTGGAGCGGCTTAACGCCGGTGAGGTGTTAGTAGGAGATGGAGGAGTGACTTATGCTTTGGAAAAGCGTGGATATGTGAAAGCAGGACCTTGGACTCCTGAGAGTACAGTGGAGCACCCAGAAGCAGGTCAGTTGTCTCGTTTACTCTGAAGAAAGACTAACACTCAGAACGTCAGCTTTGAAGTCTTTGAAAACGATGGTGTTTCCCATATCACCAATTTCAGTTGGTAATTAGCTAAAAATCTTTTTTTCCCTCCTTAATTCTTTCCCTTCTTCTTTATCTTCCTCTCTCCCTTCCTTTGTTCCTTCCACCCTCTCTCCCCTTATTCCGTCGGTCCTTTTTCGGTAGCTTTTAGTTCGAAAAAAATCGGAGAAAAGTAAAACAAATTTCTTTTCAACAAACGGAAACGATAACACATCTCCCAAAAAACAATTTACACCTGCAGGACAACAACTTAACTCGCGAACATACACGTGTAATGCTAGTGGGTTTCTAAACACATTTTTGTTTGCTCCACCCTTCCTCTCTATCTTCCTCTGTCGTTCCCACCTTCCTTTCTTCTTGCCATGAACGATCTTTCAATTTTGTTTCAGTTCGACAGCTGCATCGGGAATTCCAGCGAGCAGGAGCTGATGTCATTCAAGCATTTACATTCTCGATGGATGATGACTTGGGAAGTGACCAAGCTAAATATGGAGTGGGTATAATTATATAGATATTTTGTGAGCACCAATAAAATTGTTTTTACATTTAACAACTTAGTAACAAAGTGAAGATCTTCGTGTAATTTGAAAGACAACAGACACAGTACATTCGCGGATCCAGACCTTGAGCTAAGGGGAGAGGGGGGCGGTTTTGTTTTCCTTGCCCTGCCAGCTTTCCTTGCCATCTCCAAATAGTAATTACAGAACAGCTGAAAAATGAAAAAAGCTCTCGCCTACGCGTACGGGTCATGCTTTTAACATTTCTCGGCCACATATTTTAATTTTATGACTATGCTTTCTAATTCTGGCTTTCCTCCCAATGTTTTTTGGCTTTTTTGTTTTTTTGGCTTTTGTTTTTTTGGCTTTCACTCCTATCTGACGTTGAATTTTCCTTTCAGACCGAGAAAATAAACCAGGCAGCATGCGATCTTGCCAAAGAGGTGGCCAAGGAAGGCGGGGTGTATCTTGCTGGCTGCATCAATCAGACTGCTTTCCTCTATTCACAAGGTGCTGGAAAAGACGTGGTGATGAAGAAGTTTAGAGAGCAAATTGAGATTTTTCTCCAGAACAATGTTGATTTAATTGTTGCTGAGGTGAGCTGTTATTTATATATAGATAAGATTAAAGTTGACGACGATGCGAACGACTCTTGCCAGTGTTTTGACTTCAGCATTGGAACCTGCTGTAACGTTCATTCTTTTATCATTTACCGAGTAATTAACGGTCAAAACTCAGTCAATTTGCTCTACACTATTCAAGATTACCAAGAAGGAGACAAGCGACGAGCGCCTAAAAAAGTTATTTAAAAGTGTTATTCGTTGCTTCATCCGACTACAGTTTGTAGATTTGGGTGACCTGTGATCATTTAAGTTACTGTCTTTTTCTGGGGATACCATTGCACTTTGCTATATTTATCTTTCCTCTCTTTAAACATTAATGTCTTCAGCCATAACTGTTTCCTCTTCCTTCAGTTCTTTGCACACGTAGAGGAAGCTGAATGGGCAGCAGAAGTTTTAAAGTCCACAGGCAAACCAACGGCCATAACGCTGTGTATTGGACCTCACGGTGATAAGAAAAATGTGTCAGCTGGAGAATGTGCTGTGAGGCTAGCAAGGGCAGGTACTGTGAAACAATCCAGTGTAGCTCACATAAGTGAAAATGGAGATGGAACAGGGAAGTCCTCTTTATGAGAAGAGGATAAGACTGAAAGGACTGATTCTAATGACCCAGCGGTGCTGGGCAACCAAGCATGCCCAGTAACACCCAGCGAATTTGAAAATTACTTCTGACGACTACAAGAGATTAGAGCTACTCGAATTGTACAAAAGTTGCGAGTGCTCGCTACGCAATCAGTCAAGCAGTGAAAGCTTAAGCTTTAATCCAACGATCCGAGACTATTACAGTTTTGTTGTTGGTCGCCCAAATAAACCGCATGTTTGTCCTGATTGGTGGGAGCACGTTGCACAGACTTTTAACGGACCAATGAAAGAGCTAAGCTCTAAAAAAACAAGTTCGAATATAGGCTTAGCTGGTTTTCATTCGGATCCAGGCTCTATCCTGGTCGAATTGGAATTTTGAGATGTTGGCTTTTGTGGAGGAGGGAAAACCGGAGCACTCGGGCAAAAACCGTCGGAGCAAGGCTGGAACTAACAACAATCTGAATGCACATATGGCACCAGGCCCGAATCGAACCTGGACTTCATTGTGTGAGGCGAGCGCTCTCAACCCTGCGCCATCCCTACTCCCCTCACAAGTTTAGATTGTTTTAATTTTTCTGTATTATTATGTCATAAGGGGCTGATATCATTGGTGTCAACTGTTGCTTCAGTCCCGACATCAGTTTACAGACCATTGGTTTAATGAAAGAGGCGTTAGACAAGGAAGGACTCAAGCCTCATCTGATGATTCAACCAATTGGTTATCACACTCCAGATAGTAGCGGAGATGGATTTCTATATTTACCCGAAACCCCGTTTGGTGAGTTAGTTTTTGCCATCCATGTCCAATACTGTCGCACTCATGCCTACGGACCGGACGGAACGGTAAACAAAAAATAACTTGCATCTCATTATCGCCACAGGGCAATCTTGGTGTTAATTTATGTTTCGTGCGCTTCATCATTCCTGTCAGTGTACAATGTTAATAGCGTGAAACAAGTAATTACGTAGATCAGCCATAATAACCATAACAAACAAGTATGACTGTGCCTCGTTCTTTAAGCATCTGGCCAGAAAATACACCGGATCTTTTTGACGAATTTATCGCACCACCCAATCAATTAATCAAATGAAATGAAAAGTAGAAATCTTGCTCATATTCGACGGAATCAAATCAACCGCATACTTCCATGGACGACATTCTGATGCTGTAGAAATGTCGGCCGTAGTAGACCATAGTATACGTAGACCATATAAATGACGTGAATGGTTTAACTGCAAAGATTTGGACATTTTGTGGTTTTATATCCATCGTCGAGAGTGTAGTCCGCTGAAAATGCCGTAAATTTGTTTGTCTAAAATATCTGTGGAATTGAGAGGAATCAGCGGGAAATTTCCAGGCTCGGCTCTTAAGATCAATTTTATTTCAGCTTGAAGCCGGGGATATTGTTAAATGACCTGTTAAACTTTCTCAACTCGCCAGGATCTTTTTTTTAAAGGAAAAGAGAACGCCCAATCTTTCATTTTTTCAGAGGTTGTTACGAGTTAAGCCATTTTCACGGTCTTGCAATCTCATCGCCTGTATTTCTCGATCAACAAGACTGAAATAATTCTTTCGGTTCTCGCAAAGTAAACGATATTTATTATTCACTTGTTTAGCTCTGGAGCCTCGTACACTAACTCGTTGGGATGTGCATAAGTATGCTCGGCGGGCCTATGATATGGGAGTGAGGTATATCGGAGGCTGCTGTGGCTTTGAGCCATATCACATCCGGGCTGTTGCTGAAGAGGTAGGACTTATGAATAAATCATATATATTTACTCAATTAACCACTCCCCCCCAAGGGGATCTTAGAGCCAGTAGAAACAAACGAAGAAACAAATAAAATTCCAACTGGCAGTAGGCAGATCAGTTGCCTATTTACAAGCGTGGCCGAGGCGTTAAGCTTGGGACACCCGCGATGTCTGGATTTAAGTCCGGTGCTACAGTAAGCTCCTTTTTTTTAAAGGAGGCAAAAAGGAACCGGACGTTTGCACGCCACCTCAGGGAGGGAAAGTTGATTGGAGCTGAAATGATAATGGAGCCTTCTCCTCCTCCCACTCTTCATAGGCTTTTTTTAACTTGGGCCAAATTGACCGAACAAGCTTGGTCAATAAAGATTTATTATATGGGATAAAGAACAAACAGCGCGTAATCTTGACAGGATCTTGCCCGCTCGGGTAGCCAATCATAGCGCAGAATTTGGTTCATCTTACCCGCTCATGGGGGGCGCCATATAATAAACCAGAAATATTGTTACTTTTAGCTTGTTCCAGAACGAGGAAGATTTCCTGCAGCTAGTGAAAAGCACAGTCCCTGGGGAGAGGCACTCAAACACCACGCAGTAGCTGAAGTCCGAGACAGGTAAGACTGGGGAGAGCTCTAGAGACCTCCAAACAGCTTGGTTTCTAGTGCATGGTCACATACAGAGTAACCTCGCTTATTATATGCCAAACTGGTTCCTCTTGCCCTGCTCCTGGTTCCTCTTCCGTAACTGCCCTTGCCACCGCTCTTAATTTTCTGTGACTAATATTATCCGCATCTTGTTTTAAACTATTGTAATTAATTAGATTTAACTATAATTTTTAACTATKASTAATTATTAGATTTTATTGTAATTTTTATCAAATTTAAGATTTTCTATCACCATTCTTACTAGCTTCTAGGGTTGCGCCTCGCATGGGTAACTATTTTCCCGTTCGCGCAATTCCTATTGGTCCTTTTCTTCTTTTTAATTATATTGTAATTTTGTGACCAATAAAGTTGATAGACTAGACTAGACTGGAAACTCATCATCGTCATCACCAATAGGCGCATAAGGCCGTAACATTCTGTTTACACTGTGCCCTATCCCTGGCTACCGCTCTCACGGTGTTCCAGTTATTCCAGCCTGCCTGCCGTCTTTCTTTCTTTACTGTTCTACTGTCCTCCTCCAGGCATTTCTAGGTCTTCCTACTGCTCTTTTACTTTCTGGTCTCCATCCTAACGTCATCATGCATTAACTGGATTAGAAATTCTTTGACAATAAGACATCGTTTATTCGCTTTCCTTTTATTTATTAAAAACTAAATAGCTACAAATATTGACCTTATATTACTTGTCCCTGTCTTTCTTTACAAATGGAGAATATTATCACACACAGACTGACATCTGAGTGATTTTTTTCTTTTCAGAGCAAATCGCGCCTACTGGGAGAATCTAAAACCAGCCAGCGGTCGTCCATTTTGCCCTTCGTTGAGTGGACCTGGACCACGCAGCCAACTACAATAGGCCAAGGAACTTTGTACAGTGAACCTTGCGGATTTTGCATTATAGTTGATTACATGTAATGTGGCTTTACTGTAGGTCTTGTATATTGTACTTCATGCAAGTCACTTATAAATCAATCAAGTGTTTTCAGTTCTTCACTCGGTGGAAGGAACAAACGTTATTGTATATATCACTTTTTTAAAATGTTATTTTGGGTCATTTATAAAGTTATCAGTCGCAGACTAGCCTGTTCCAGGCTCTCTCGAGTAATCACACTAGACAAGCTATACTGTAAGGAATTGCTTAGATAATAATGACAATCGTCCAGGAGTAGAAACAGACTCCCAGACGCCTTATTATTTCCTAATGTGGTAAAGCGAATCCAAATTGCTTGCAAAGTTTCACCCCACCGAGTCATTAAAAAATCGTTCTTTTTATCGACACTACGCTTTTCCGATTTTTTATTCAAACTATAAATAAGTCTTACCGCGCGATTTATCATGCTAAATTTAGTGAATATGAGCAGTGTAACAAGGGTCCGTTGCAAACTCATAAAAATATGCGACCCAAAACCTGCCACTTTTTGCAAAAGAAATCTTTGTCAGCGTCGTCCACCTGGAATACATTTCTTTCTAACAAATTCGCATAGTTACTAAATTTGGCATGGTAAATTGATCTTTGGATGTGGTGTTTTGTTTATATTATATCCGTGTATAAAAAAACGTTTTTTGGAAAGTTTTCCGAGCGATCGAGAGGCCAACATCAATTTTAAATGGGGAAAGAGGTTTAGTGTAAGGAGTATGTTTGCTTTACCTGTGAAGCTCAGTGGAACCGAACGTACGACTACTTGTAAAGCATCCTCCTCGATGACGGACTTTGAAAAATCGTGTTTTGTTAGTTTTGGAGTACAGTAGCTCACAGTGTGATCATGTATGACGATGGCATGTGCATTCAAGATTACATTTACCATTGGATTTTTTACACAAAGAGACTTTTTTAACCTGATCGTAGCTGCTCTAATCCAAGATGCCGCGCTAGAGAATATTATAACATGGTAAAAATGATTTTATACTGATGACGGAGAGACAGTCTAGCTATTTTTTTTTTTTTAGCTCGGGTTGAAGATAACTTGGAGATCTTACTAAACGAAAAAAGAGGGGCCCGCCCAGCTCCCCTGATGTTTTACGTGCTCGTCGGCTCGCTGCGCGCGCGCTCGCCGAATTTTTTGCCCTTCTCCGAAAGCATGTTCACGACCTAAGGGTCTTTTATCCCACTGAATAACAAGTTACGCAACAACTGTAACACAAAACAGGTTTGATCTTTGATACCTGATATCAAGGTACTTAAACGATCCAAAGGGAAATGCAAACAAAAAGTCACATGCCATCATTACGCAAAATTGAGAACAAAGTCTACGATAAACTCTATTCTGCAATAGGTCACGGCCCCTCTGAGTCCGAAGGTGCCCTAAAGCCTATGTACACAGCTGCAAATAATCTGCCCTCACCTTTTCAGCATTAGACGTCATGTAGGAGTCCTAAGGACTGAGAATAAACCTGGAGGATCTCGCTCACGCGCCTACGGGCTCTGCGGTGTAACAAAATCCTCGCCAGAAAGCTTGCGCTACTGATTACAGTAGACAAATTCTTTTCCTTTCCCCTACCATCCCCTCCCGTCCCTACCAGGGTAGTTTTTGATGTTCTTTGGAGCAAGAAGGTTCATTCCGGCGAGTTTATCCTCAATCTTTACGAATATTGTAACTCCGACACAATGTCAAATAGTGAGAAGGTGAGTAGCTACAGTAGCGAAGCAAAGTACGCATAATCTGGATTATTGCTGTGTGCACGGGATAGTGGACTTTAGACATGAGCACGAGATCAATTCGAAAATAGTACTCGTTCTCAATCTCGCTATACTCTTACTCCAATCCTAAGGTCTGAAACTGAAAATCATCGTAAAACGTTTTCTTTCGCTAGTACTGAGAATATATACATATTCTTATGAAGATTTTAATGGCGAGAAAATCATGTGACCGATCCAACTAGAAATCAAAATGTATAAAACTTTGTAAGGTTGGGTCAGTCGCATTCTATACATCGCGCCCATTTCATTATCGAAGCTGGACGATTGAAGTAAACGAGTAACAGTGTAATAAGAGGAATCGGGTTACGAAAGTTTCTTGTTTGGCCGGCTAGCCGCAGTCGCACTCCTGCAAAGCTATCCACTTTATATAGAGTTAGAGCTACTCACAGTCATTCAGTTGCTCAGTTTGCAGGCGTCAGTGTCACTTTAGTAGTCATTCATTATGAGAGAGCGTGGTTAATAATTGGTCAAGACCTTCGTTGTAAGAGATCGTATGGAAAATACTGCTGTCGCAATTGTACGAAATTGGATATAAAATTTTCCTTAAACTCACCTAAGTTGTCTTCTTGTCGTTTCGTATGATTTTAACGTGTTGAAGACATCTTAGCGACGAATTAAGGCTTTTTGCGAGTGAAAAAAGTGAAAATAATACGAAAAAACTTTGTCGGTGTTTCCATTTGCACTCCTTCAGCTACAATGTAGGTGATTTGTTTCACTGAACTGTTCAAGGAAGATCTCGCCCATTGGAATTGCGCATCCTTATTTACTGCGCACGTAATTCATGTCAAAACGTCACGTCAAGCGTGCGCGCTTAGAAAGAAACTTTAGGGCTTTGCACCGGGTGCGCTAATTTCCCCCACTATTTACTCTCTTCGATGTTCGGTGGCCCCCTCTTTTCTTTTCATAGATAGCTCCTCTTCCTGATTTTCTCCATTTTACAGAGAGTAAAAGAGGTTATTATTCCTGTCTTCCGCCACCGAGAAAACAAGGTGTTGTTAGCGGTTTTCTGGCCACTACTTAAAAAAAAAAAGACCGAAAGGAGAAGAAATTTTACATTAGAAAAAAACGATTGTGTAGTCCTTGGAGTTTAAACTCGACTAGTGACCTATAGTTTCTGTCAGTTAACATTGTTTTCCGACCATTCCCTGTTTCAGCGTGGTATACTGGAGCGGCTTAACGCCGGTGAGGTTTTAGTAGGAGATGGGGGACTGTGCTATGCTTTGGAAAAGCGCGGATATGTGAAAGCAGGACCTTGGACTCCTGAGTGTACGGTGGAGCACCCAGAGGCATGGAAATATCGACGTCATCAGTCTGTATGTTTGGCACGATCCATTATTCTAGCCGTTTGAGTCCCACGCGCGAGCGAAGATTGAGTCTACGAGCGAAGTGATCCGGCACAGTCTGGTGCGGAAGCCCGTGTGTTCCCCAAAGGTGATCCTCTTCGGAGGCGCCGTCATTCTTGTTGGTGTACAATGTTTACAACGTGAAACAAGGAACTAAGTAGATCGTTATTTAGCCGAATAGCTGTAATAAACAAGTATGCGGACTCTGCCTCGTTCTTTAACCTTCTCAGAGGTTGTCTGCGGTAACGTTATGAGTTAAGCCACTTTCATGGTCTACAATCTCATCGCATGTATTTCTCGACCAAGGAAATCGAAAGAACTTTCAGTTCTTGTAAATTAACGAAATTTATTACTCACTTGTTTAGCTCTGGAGCCTCGTACACTAACTCGTTGGGATGTGCATAAGTACGCTCGGCGGGCCTATGATATGGGAGTGAGGTATATCGGAGGCTGCTGTGGCTTTGAACCATACCACATCCGGGCTATTGCTGAAGAGGTAGGACTTTTGAAAAAATAATGTAGTGTTTATTCAATTAACCACTCCCCCTGTTGGGGCTTTTAGAGCCAGTATAACACAAGCGATGAAACAAATAATATATATGAGCATACTATGATTAAAAACCCCAACAAGCAAAAAGCAGACCGGTCACCAATTTACAAGCGTGGTAGAGATATTGAGCTCGGGACTACCGAGAGAAACGCCAGCTAGTGGTCGTATATATTAAGACGGGACGTGGACCCACGATGTCCGAATTTCAAGTCCGGTGTTATAACCGCTCGGCTAAGCTGCCTCTTTTTTAAAGGAGGTAGATGGGAACCAGACTTTTGCACGCCACTTCATGGAGACAAGTTGATTAGAGCTGAAATAATAACTGAAAAGACTTCTCTCCTTCTCCTCGCCCCACACTTCCCCTGCTGTCTACAATTTTCTCCAATGCTTCACTAACTTGAGCCAAATTGACCCATCAATTTAACTTATTTAAATTTATATACCTTCATAAGACTCTTATAATTTCTTTTTTCCGTTTTTTTTGTGGCGTACCTGTAAACTAGCTTTTTAGCTAAGCGTACCGATCACGTTAAATATATTGATTGATTGATTGATTGATTAATTGACTGATTGATTGATTGATTGATTGATTGATTGATTGACCGAAAAGCTTGGTCAATAGAGGGTTTATCATATGGGATAAAGAACACATGTACTTGTGGGACAGAGCGCATAATCTTGAATGCCGGGCAGGATAGCACCATCGTGCCCGCTCGGTTAGCCAATCACAGCGCAGAATTTGGTTCATCTTGCCCCATCAGGGAGCGAGCCATGTAACAAACCAGAGATATTGTTACTTTTAGCTTGCTCCAGAACGAGGAAGATTTCCTGCAGCTAGTGAAAAGCACAGTCCCTGGGGAGAGGCTCTCAAACACCGCGCAGTAGCTGAAGTCCGAGCAGGTAAGACTGGGGAGAGCTCTAAAGACTTCCAAACAACTTGGTTTAAACTTGAATTGTAGATAAAGGTAGGTTAAGTCTGCATACGAGCCAGGTGGCCCACCAGGCCGGAGTTTATCCCGGCTTCTGTAGCATGAAGCGACTGGGAGTATTTCTACTCCCCCCTGGATGGGGTGTTAGTCCATCGCAGGGTTACCCACAGCACTGAGTTTGCCGCTACCCATTTATACACCTGGGTGGAGAGAGGCACTGTGAGAGTAAAGTGTCTTTCCCCAATATCCCCAGCGAGGACTCGAACCCGGACCGCTCGATCCGGAGACAAGCGCACTAACCATGAGGCCACCGCGCCTCCCACAGACTTGAATTGTAATTAATGTAATTAATTTTTAACTAGTCATTTTACTGACATAGTTTTTAAGGCGCATTTGATCACATTCATATGCTAATTTGCGCCATAGAATTCTGTGCTACAAATAAATAGCTACAAATATTGACTTTATGTTGTTTGTCTCTGTCTTTCTTTTTACTACCACACACAGACTGACTTGTGAGTGGATTTTTTTATTTTCAGAGCCAATCGCGCCTACTGGGAGAATCTAAAACCAGCCAGCGGTCGTCCATTCTGCCCTTCGCTAAGTAGACCTGGACCACGCAGCCAACTGCAATGAACCAAACGAACCTTGCGAATTTTGCATTATAATTTATTACTGATGTGGAAAAACGAAGACAACCTTATAAACCAACTATATAAATATTTTCCTCAATTTTCTAAACTTACTAGTCCTCCATCTCCTCCTAACACCTCGCCATCATTAAGCTGCTCCAATCCAAGATGCTGCGCTAGAGAACGTTATAACATGGTTAAATTGATTTTCAAGAGTGATGACGAGGAGACAGCTCGGGTTGAAGATAACCGGGATATCTTACTAAACGAAAAAACAAACAAACAAAACAAAACATGAGTTTTTATTTGTTTTTCGACCTCGCCAGGAACCTGTTCACAAGCTAAGGGTCAGTACTATCCCACCGAATCGGAAAAACAAAATATCGTAAATAAAAATACTAGCCCTCAGGCAGGCAGATAAACTGAATATTTTTTGGACAATTCTCAATACCCAAGCGTGGATGAAATTGAACTAAGCTGACAAGTAACGTAACAACTGTAACACAAAACGAATAGAAAACAATCTTGATCATTGATGCCTGACATCAAGGTACTTAAACGATCCAGTGGCAAATGCAATCAAGGATTCACATGCCATCATTATGTAAAATTGAGAACAAAGTCTACAACATGCTTCATTTCGCACTAGTCCAAGGCAAGATCATTTTCGCGGTAGAAATAAAAGTACAGTCAAGCCTCCACTATTGGCCACCTGTCTACAACGGTCACTTTTTTGTCACGGCGGACGGCCCATACATTCAGTCTTATTCAGTTACCTCTCTACAACGTACGACCACCTCTGCACAACAGCAGCGGCCACTGAAGCGCGTCTAAAACACCTCTCGACAATTTTCGCGGCAGAACTAAAAGTAGAGATAGATAATGGCGCGTGTAAGTCAGTGCCAGTTTTAAGCTATGAGAAGTTAGTTACCCTCCAGAAATAAATGTTGTTCAAGGATCGTTTCTTTAAAGCCACTATTTTTTTTATCTTGTTTAGCCCTTTTATCGGTGAGGAACATCCATGTGCTTATTTCAGCGATAAGAACACGGCTTTTGATGTAACGCGACCTTGCTGTTTCGCATAATCGAGTCGCAACCGATGGCTTTCATGAAAAAATCTACGATTACACTGAAGATTTTTCTCAGCTACCGTTCGAGCAGAGTCGCTTCGATCTTATCCGCAGCCTATTGTGATTTTTCGTCCAAACACGTGCACTCGATCTAGCGGCGCTGAGTTGCGTAAAGCAAACTAGCTTGATCTTCAGGCGACAGGAAAAACATGTTGGGCAACCTTTATAGGTTTACAAGGTAGAGTGGCTCAATCGAGAATGGGTATCCATCGGAGCAATGCAGTTCACGTACGGTCTAGCACAGCTGTTCTTGTACGTAATGTAGTATGCAGGAAAAGTCATTCGAGATTGACCTTTAAAAGAACTAAACAATAAGAATTCACAAGGTTTGTAACGAAGTCAGTAAACTAACTCGTATAACTAGAATAACCCGTAAGTCACACATGTCCCGCAAAGGTTACCTCATGTCAATCATCATTGACTGGGGAATCTACGGGTCTGCTCAGAGCACTTTGATTGTTTTTACTGTAATTTGAGTGCGTTTGTATCCTGATTGCATGCATGCATGCATGATTGCATTCGGACATTGTGTAATTTTTTCGGGCAAGATGGTCACCGTCCCCCCTCACCCACTAAGTTCAAAGGTGCCCTTACACAGCTGCAAATAATCTGCACTTACCTTTTCAGTTTTAGACACTATGCGGCAGTCCAAATATTCCTAAACACCGAGGTTAATCCTGGATATCTACAGGCTCTGGGGTGTAGTAAAATCCTCGACGGAAAGCTTGCGCCCCTGGCTTGCGCAACTTATTGCAGACTGGGGGGGGGGGCGGGGGGGGACAGGTGTGAAATCCTTACCAGGGTAGTTTTTGATGTTCCGCGGATCAAGGAGTTTATCCTCAATCTTTACGAATATTGTAACTCCGAGACAATGTCAAATGCTGAGAAGGTGAGTGGACGCTACAGTGGCAGAGCAAAATACGCATAATCTGGATCTTTGACTTGTGCGCGCGATAGGCGACTTTAGACATGAGCACGAGATCGAGAACGTCTTTTCAATTCTAGTTTTTAGGCTTCACATTATCGCATCGCATACCCATCTCATCCTATGAGCTACCACTAACATGAAGAGCGAGGGCTCTGGAGACGTTGCTGGTTTGCCGGAGATTCGAAACAGCGGCTCGTTCTCATATCTCGTACTTTTACTCCAACCCTAAGGTCTCTAAATAAACGTTCGAGGTTTGAAACTGTAAATTATCGTAATATGTTTTCCCCCGCTAGTACTGAGAACATATACAGTTGGACCACGCTGATTCGAACTCGGTCATTTCGTCCCCGTTATTTCGAACTCAAAACAATTTCCCCTGAATTTGCCCTTCAGTCATTTACTATCGGCTATTTGGGGCTCCCGCTAATTCGAACTGATTTTCGTTTCCCCTGAGAATTCAAAATAGCGGGGTTAAACTGTGCATATGCTTGTGAAGATTTTAATAGCAAGAAAAAGGTGTGGCCGATTCATCAACAATTCAAACTGGAGAAATCGTTATAAGCTTGGATCAGTCGCATTCTATATATCGCGCCCATTTCATTATTGAAGCCTGATGGTTGAGGTACATGTAAAGGTGTAATAACAGTAATCGATATTTTCACGTTTGACTAGCCTCAGCCACTCCTGTAAAGCTAGCCACTGCGCATACAGTCAGTGCTATTCACGGTCGTTTAGTCTCACCGGCGTGCTACTCAAGCTAAAATCCCTCTCTCGGTTTGTCGTACCGTTACTCGTTACGCTGTTAAGAAATGCTCTAGTGAATATGTAGATACGATTTTGTCCCCCAAGAGCCCTTTTCACGGTTACCTTCGCTCATTTGCATTACAATAAACTCTAGCATGTATGTGAGGCAATTTCGGGCTATTTTGTCTTCAGTGTGAACATGTTTCCTCTCTTTATCGTTGTACAAATAGCGAGTTCAAAGGCCTTAACTGTACTTAGATATACTTAGAGCACAGTTACAATAGGAAGCCCAGCAAACTTCAGAAGAGCAATTTAAGAACGACGCCAAGATTTATGTTAAATGGTCACCAACCGAGTGCAATTTTTTCTTTAAATTTGCGTTATTCAACTATGCATGAATTACGTTACGTTTCTGTTGGTTTAGTTGTTCAGACAGGATTGAACAGGTATTAAATTTTGTGCTCGGTCAAGGCCAGTAGAGAGAACAAAAAGTGAAAATAATAAGAAAGATATTGCCGGTGTTTCCATTTGCATTCTTTCAACTACAGCCTTACTGCGCACGAGATCACGGCAGGTCATACATCAAGCGCGTAAGAAGAAATACGTACGGGTTATTGACCAAGTGTGAGGTCAAGATGGCTGGATATTGGCCAAGTTCTTTTTTTTTGCGCGTTTATGGAGCGAGACGGAGTCGAGGTCCATAAACACGCAAAAAAAGAACGAGGCCAATATCCAACCATCTTGATCGTACAAGCTTGGTCAATAAAGGATTTATTATATGGCTTTCGGGAAAATTTTTCTTGCGGGACAGGGCGGGTAGTCCCGAGCGGACAAGATAGCTCCATCTTGCCCGCTCGGGTAGCCAATCACAGCGCAGGATTTGATTCATCTTGCCCGCTCGCTCACGGAGCTGGCCATATAATAAATGTTGGCTATTGACCAAGCGTGAAGTCAAGATCACTGTATATTGGCCAAGTTTTTTTTGCGCGTTTATGGACCCGACTCCGTCCCTAAACACGCAAAAAAAAAAAAGATAAAAAAAACGACGAGGCCAATATCCAGCCATGTTGACCGAACAAGCTTGGTCAACAAAGGATTTATTATATGGAAAGATAACACTAGTTTCTTGGGGGAAACGACACTCGGCAGTCAATAACAGCGCAGGATTCGGTTCATCAGTATCATCTTGCCCGATCACGAAGCTGCAATTGTAGCCATATAATAAAAGATAGGGCTTTACACCAGGTGCACTAACTTCGCCCGCAATTTACTCTATTCGCAAAAGAGATATAACTCGCTTAATGGACACCGGCTGTAAAGGCTGCATCCTATGCTGCACATAATGCCCTTCAAGTCATTTATTTTTTATTGTATTAATATTAGTATTAGTATAGTTTTTTAGCAGTGTCCCCTAAGGG